TATAGCTTGTCCCTTGTTCCCATGTGTTCAACAGTCAATACTCTCTGGAGATAGACTGCACTTTTTATCATTTTAGTAGGAATTCTAGAGCATGGAAATGTCCTAATTTGCTATTGCTGCATCAGCATAATGAATCAGCCTTAGGTCCCATGGGAGAATAACAACACTTAGCACTTATATACCACGCTTTTCATCTTCCGAGTCCTTAACCACGTTAGGCTGTAATGTTTTCTGTCTCTCAGCAAGACAAAGGAGTTCATTGCTAGTCCTTCAATTGCCTTCCTTCCTTACACACACACACACACACACACACACACACACACAAAACTGCTGTTATGTGATGACGCTATCACTCACTTTCTAGATGTGCATTATTTGACCTCTTTTTTTAAAGCAATTAAATGTAAAAGGTAAATTCACCTACCTCTTTCTTCCTTTTTCTTTTTTAAAAACCATTTTGTGTTTCTTTCTCTAACCTGGAACACAAACTCCAATGCTGCCTGTCCATTCAGCATTGCTGCCAGGGCTAAGTCCCCACTTGACTTCATTCCTTACGCCTCGTGGTCTTCTGCGTCATCTCTGCCCACAGAGGGGAGTTGAATCCTTTGTTTTGGAGAATTCTAGAAGCCTCTTCCCAGCTCTGTGCTCAGACTTCTCTGCTTCATCTCTAGTCACTCCTGGTTCAGGTGATCCACCCAACTTCACGTACTTAAATACCATCTCCACGCCAGCAATTCCCAAATCTGCATCTCCTCCTGAATTCCAGACCTATACATCCATCTGCTGATTCAGTATCTACATTTAACAAGTCTAAAAACAAACCTTCGATTTTCCCCTCAAACCTGCTCCTCCCTCAGGCTTCCAGCTGCTCAGGCCAAAAACCTGGTTTCATCCTTGGTTCTACTCTTTCTGTTAGTCTGAGATCTAATCCATCAGCAAATCCTATTAGCTCTATCTTCAAGATACATCCAGAACCTCTTCAGCCCTCCATCACCACCTTGGACCAATCTGCCATCATCATTAATCTAGAGTCTTTCAATACTCTCTCAACTGGTCTCTCTCTTTCAGCCACTGCCCTTTCATCGTTTGCCTTCAACTCGGCAGCCTAAGTGATCTTTCTAAGACATAAGTCAAATTCTATCACTTCTCTGCTCAGAACTGTCCTACAGTTTCCCATCTCATTCAAAGTAGAAGCCAAAGCCCTTCCAATGGCCTACAAGGCCCCCCACCCCCGATCTGCCCTCCCACACCCAGCTTTCTAGCCTTATTACACACCCTCCTCCAGCCAAACTGGCCTCTTTACAGTTTCCCCAACACACAGAGAACCATCCAGCCTCAGGCCTTTGCACCTGTGGAACATGCTTCCTCCCAGCATGCACCTGGTTCAGGCCTTCTGTTCCTCCAGGTCTCTGCTCACATGTCCACTTGCCAGCGATGCCTCTCTGGCCTCCCCCAGTGCTCCCTATGCCCCTTCCTTGCTGCCTTTTTCTCCGTAGCACTTATCACCATCTGACATGTTATACGTGTTTTTCACTTGTTTATTGTTTGTCTTGCCCACTAGAAGTAAGCTACATGGAGGCAGGGGTGTTTGTTTGTTTATTTGATTTTTATCATCTTTCTTCAGTAGTATTTTCACCCATGCCTTAGACAGTGCCTGGCATGTGGTGGGCACTTGAAAATACTTCTTGAATGAAAAATGATGAATAAAATTTCTCATATGTTTCAGGATACGGACTAGCCTGATTCTAAGCCATCAGCAAGCTGCAATATGTGATGCCTGCTAGTGAGTTACGACATGCTATTCCAAGAGGGAAAACAATCTCATATTAAAGAGTTATGCGGCTATGAGCTTATATTAACATGGAAAATTGAGGCAATTGTGGAATGTGTTGTCTGCTATATATGGTATCGATACAGATAGTGAGGCCTTTTTCCAGTGGACATGACCTGCCTACAGCTTGACCTTATTCTGTACACACATTGGGATGCTTTTGGAAAAGGATATCAGGACAAGAGATAGAGTCTGTAGAACAGAATTTTCCCCAATGCACAGCTGCACTTACAAAGCAAGGATCAATTCTCTATTTGCTCTTTAACAGAATTTTCTAGCCCAAGCTACAGCTAGAAATTTGAAAGTGGAGGGCAGAACCAGCCAGCCTTTCTGATATTTTTGTATAAAATCCTTAGAAAGTTCAAGCAAGAACCTTTTTTAAACCAAATTCTTCAGATAAATTAATCCATCTTCTACTTCACTTTATTAAAACTTACAGAAGGGACCAAAGCAAATCTTTTATTAAATGACTCAGAAGAAAAGAAATCAGATGAGAGCTGGAGATGTAGAATTAACAAGAAACAATCATCTGAATGTAGAACAAAAGGAAAGAAGGAGGAAACTCTCAGGAATGATAAGATATGTGTTTTATAAGGACCTGTGTTCCTCTTTTGAAGCAGGGAAAGAATGAATGAAGAAGGAGTGGAGGATGGCAAGATGCCAGGGATATTGACAGCTGGGAAAATGTGGTCAAAGGGGCTAGTGAAAGTATATTGTCAGACTGGGAAGCATTACTCCCACTCCTCATTTCCCTGCCCTATGGCTTCCAAAGAGATGCCAGGGCGGAAGCCACCAACACAGCCCATTTTGCTGCTGGATGTGTCACTGTGCTTTAAGCCTCAAGGGGATGCTCGCTCTCAGGTATTCACAGCCACCTGAGGCTGAATTTGGCCCCTCTGGTTTGAACAAGGCGAAGTAAGAGTAAGCCGCAACAGTCTGAATATTACTGTCCCGCTTCCAGTGCATGCAAGTGAGGCTGGAGCGTGAGACGGTGGTGTCCCGAGAGGCTGGCCCCAAACCATGGGAGAGGCTGGCTGCGGGATCCCCCCACCCACACACCCATCACGAAATCATCACATGGCTCTGAGCAACATTTAAAAGGGAGAAAACACATATTTCCACAGCTGCACTCGTCCTCTTTCTTAACACTGCCTGCCTAATTAATTTTAATTTTTAAAATGTCATTATTTATAGTCTTTCTCAACCCAGAAGAAATTTAAAGCAACTCATAAAACACGTATATCATGGAAATGTTTTTGAAAATTAAAAATCAGAACCAGAGAAAATACAAACTAGAACTGAAAGTCTAGTCTAGACACAGTGTTCTAAAAAGTTCTCTCGTTTAGTAGCGAATTCAGCTTTGTGTTAATCTAGCAGTCAGAGCAAAAAGAGAAACAGAACCAGTTACGCGACTCTTGAGTCTAAGAGGAGAAAATATTTCGGCTCCTCAGGGGAAGCAAACCATTTCCTGGAATTCAGATCTGCAAGAATTTCCTCATACAGGGCTTCATATAGGAAATCATGAATAATGTAATGGAGAATATCTAAAGCCACACCCCTACCATGGGCTTCATGAAACTGTTCTTGGTGAAACATCTTTAGGAAAATCAAGGGAATACGCTTCAATTAAAACTATAACTATTCTATCAGAAATGAAGACAATAGGGACCAAGTACACATCTTCCTTGTCGTTCAGTTTAATCTAAGAAGCCATATTTGACTATCTCAAGAAATGAATGAACTTAATCCCTCAGTCTTCTATACACACACATCTACCAAAGGAACTAAAGTTATTACTCAACCAGAGCAAATTTACTGTGCCAGACTTTCTTTCTCTCCCTCGCCATTTTCATGGTTTTTTTTTTAAATCTACTATTGCAATGAAATATAGAATATATATCTTCTATTTTTATTGAGTTAATTTTTTAAAGTGCTCACAACTTTATTATTTGCCTGGTAATAATTACTATATAAGTGTTTGTTTAAAAAAAGAAAAGGGACACTTCATATCATTTGGCAGGGAAGTGGGGGAGAGGACCAGGTATAAATGAAAAATTAATTATAAATAAATAAAATGAGTGGATTGAGATTGTATGCTCCTCTTGTAAGCGTCGCCTATTTTTGTGATTTTTCCTAAAGCAGCATAGACTGAATATAAGCCCTTGACCATTATGATATGAGAATGTGGCATGAACAATCTGGTAGGGGGGATTATTATAATGTCTCAGAGAGGAGGATTCAAAGGCTTTGAAACACTCAGAGAAATATCAGAGGCTTTGAAAATTTCTTCTCTGGATGGAACAGCTGGAACATCGGAATTCATTACTACCTAGCTGGTCTTCCCTTTCAGTCGCCTTTTACATTTTAAGTTTCCGTTCACAGACTGTGTCTAATTCATTGTTTAGAACACTGTGGGCATTTGATAATGCTCTGTAATAACAAGGGAAAAAAATACTAAAATGCATCCTTCTCACGTTTACCTATGACCCCATCTCCTTTCCTTAATCTTGTAAAGTGATTTTAAAATTCCAACACAACATTACGATAAAAACTGAATATATTCTGAAGGGTTTCATAAAGTGAATTTCCTACATTTTTAAGAACAAATGATCCACGTTTATAGTTAACCTATTTGTCTCAGCAACAACAGATGTTCAGTAATATGACAAGGGAATATAACCAGGAAGTAATTAGGAATTTGGTGGAGAATGACCAGGAAGATTATCGAAAACAGACAGTTACAACCTGGGCCAAAATCAGATGAAATCCCCTCTCCTCCCACTCCCATTACTCTCCTTTCTCTTTGGCTCCTGTCTTCTGCACTCGCTGCCCACGGAAGGCTTGCTATTAAATACTTAGCAAAACGAAACAGCTGGTAAAGAAAAAGTCCGCGAGTTTATCTGACTCAAGTTCAAGAATCAGGTAACTATTTTTTGCTTGAATTTCATATTTCAGATACCTACTTTTCCCATGATTCATCTAGGTTTGGATTCTACCACAATAAGGGATCATCGATTTTTTTTAAACATGAGACAAACACTCACAGATGGATAAAATACTGTTTCAAGGCCACATCGACACCCTCTGCAGGGCCACCTCGTTTCCACGTGGAAGTTTCTAGCAGGTGATAGAGAGGCACCTGTCGAGGTGTCCATCCCAACAAACCTACCCGCTTGCTGCTCTCCTCTTCCTGAGCCTTCCTGAACTCGTGCTCCAGGGAGCAGTCCAGCTCGTTGAAGAGGCCCACCTCCTCGCAGTTCTTCAGGAATCTCGTCGGGGTCGGAGTCTGATCTGAAAACAGAGACCGAGTGATCACAGATAGGTTTTTTTCCTCAAAAGTTAGTGACAAGCATGAGCTACATTCACAAAGCCTCTCCCCTCCCCTTAATTAAGATGCCTACTGGCCACTCACAGTCTCTCAGCCCTTTAAATAATGTGACAATATGCAAGAAAATAAAACCGTAAACTCCGAAGCAGGAACACGATAGACAGAAAGCTACGGTATGTGAGGGCTTGCCAAAGCTCCCTCTGGACAAGTTCAGGAGGTCTTGCCTTCCACCTCTCTGGAGTCTGCATCATTTGAATATACATTGCAACCTGGAAAATGTCCTTTTCTTTCTTTTAAACCGAAAAAAAATGATTTAGCTAAAATCAGGGTGCCCAAAATCTTCTGAGCCAATGTTAAGCCTGACTTCAGGGAGGCTGGAAGGAAAAAAGATTTTGTAAATTTTTATATCAAATGAAAAGAAACAACCAGGCATGTTATTTCCTTTTTCTTAATGGAGAAAGAAAATTTAACAAATTCTATCTCTCATTCTGAGAATCATAGAAGGATGATAAAAAGTTCCAAGTCAAACACATTCAGCTTTCATCCTTTAAAAATGTCATTATTAATTTTATTTTCCTTTGCTATAGCCAAAAGAGTGTTCTGAGAATGCTCTTTAAAAGGAAAATAATTTCTTTCATATTCTTGACTTTCTAGAGAGCTTAGTATTTGGAAAACTGGAGGAGCTGAAGCCATTATTTGTGGCTTAATATTATATTTATGCAGCATTTGCAATTTACAAAATATTTTCACACGCATTTTCTAGAATCTAGATCTCACAAGATCCTAGAAGGTGAGTGGGGTAGAATTACACCTTTGTAGTCAGTAAAGACATGTCATCTTCTCTGGTGAAGGTGCACTTGAGTTGACATGAATAAAATTGTGTAAACTGCCTTTACTCAGAAGATATAAGAACCAGAAAGGACCATGGCAGAAGCCTCACCATGCTAATTTTTTTTGCACATAAGGAAAACTGAGGCCCAGAGTGATTAACAGTTTTGGTCAAGGTCTCCAAAGTAGATGGTGGCAATATCAGGATTATAACCAAGACCTCAGTGCTGTTTCCACTATATACTATGTTATTCCCACCTAAACCTGTGGTAGACACTGCTGTATTAACTATGGCATTGACCTACACGCAGCCTCACAATTTGTTTCTGTACAGCTCTCTGAGCCGTCATGACCAGTCAACTGAAGAGTGTTCTCAAGTTGAAAAGAATCTGCCATTCCCGCACTCTATTTATAAATTCCTATCAGAAACTAGAATTCTAATTACTTTTCTAAGTCACATAGTGAGTAATTAATCCCAGTAAATCAGTAGATTATCCACTGAGATTCAAAGAATATCTTAATATATACGAAGCAGAAAATGGCTTGGTATCCCCATTTTCAGAGGCAGTGTCTCTGGATTCCCTATGGGTAAAGGACTTCGGCACCCTGATGGCTGACTTGGATTCCCACGCAGCAAAATCCCCATCTGTATTTTTCCCCACTGTTAACCTGATCTCCAGGCTGGGCTTGATATTACTCATTTTTCAAATAAATTTCTAAAGTTTTATGATTCTATAAATCCTAAAATCACCACTATAATGGGTTAGCTTCAAAAGTTACTTTTCGTAGGCCAAAGAAATATATGACTATTTAAAGGACAGTCAAATGGGAACGTGAGTAACAGCTGGAAGCTGGACACATAGTTAGGTCAGAGGTAAGGGCTAGATAAAGTTTTCTGAACAGAAGGTGTAAATAGACAAGATCTGAGACTGAAAATAAAAGAGAGAGAGACAGCGCACGCATGCGTGTGTGTGTGTGTGTGTGTACATATTCTTTCATTTTTTGGGTGCTCACAGGATGCCAGGCATGGTGCTAAGTGCTTTGCATATACTATCTCATTAATTTTCAAAGCAACTATATTAAGTAAAAATTGTTTCTCCCATTTTACTTATGAGGAAACTGAGGCTTGCCCAGGTCTAATTTGGAAATTGAGTCACATAATTTTATTGGCAATTGATAATCCTAACAACCCTTGGTTCTTTTGAAATATCTTGGAATCATTTATATCCCTGATATAATAGAGGTGCATTACAATCCTACCAACTCTCCACTATCTTACAGGATCACTTTCACTATTAAAAAACCTGAAAAAACATCACATAAGAGAATTAAAATATTAGATCAGTAGGAATTGAGTTTACCAGGTTTTAATTTTCTTTTTATCCTTCTATGCTTTTTTGTTGGCAATTTAGAAGTTGAGGGCCATGATTCAAGGTAGAGAGTATAGTCATCCTAGCAGCCTCCATAAGACTCCTGAACTTTAAGATGAGGTCCTGAGATGGTCCATGAAATTGAATTGAGACTAGCATGTGAGAGGCCAATCCCCAAACAAAGTTGAGAGATGTTTCTTGACTGTTCTAAACAAAATTATTCCCAGAGACCAGCACACGTCTACATATATGAACAAAGGAGATTGCAGGATGGCACAGGGATAGCAATGACACTGCCCACTGTCACGGACCTCTTCAGCAGGGAAACAAAAGCTCTGGGGCCAGGGAAACCATGCACAGCAAAGACTGCTCCTTCCCTCCCACCCCCAGAGCAGAAGGGCCAGAAGAAAACCCCAGGGTTGTTACCAAATGTGATTTTCTTTGCTGTATGATATAGTTCAAGAAAAGCAAAGTAGGTGCCTACATGCACATTTGGGATAGATAAGGCACACTGTGCCTAATTTCTAATTCATTTTTCTTTTGGTGAATAAGCAATTCTTTCCAGTTACAACAGGAACCAGAAAATGGGGTTTAACTTTTGTTTTAACATTTATTAGAATTAATACAGGATCTCCAGTTGTCTTTGATCTCACATGGTACCAGTTCCAAGTAAGCCAGGAAATGTGCAAATGTTCAAAAAGGGGACAGCAAAATCTATCAACTGCTTAAATAAAAGAGGCAGAATTTCTCGGCCACATGAACACCTTGTCAAATAACTATTCCTGCTGAAATTAGACCTGGAGTTAGTGGGTAACATCCATGGCCATAAATTAAAATTCTTATAAATTACACCTTATTTAGAGCCAAGAGCATACATCAGTTAGTTATGGCACCAGCAATTTCTATATCCTGAATAATAATGGCTGATTCTCTGTTGGTGGATAATATCTACAGTGTGTTCATTCAGTAGTGATAGGAGGTACTCTGAGGACTTACAGGAATTGGTTTGAAGAAGAAATCAGAGCTGAGATGATTGTTTAAGGTCTCCCACTCACTTGTCTTTTAGCGCTTCTACTTCAGTGAGGACCATCAGAAAGAAGGGTATAACCCTAAATTTCAAACTAAACTTAAAAAAAAAAATAACTTTCGAGTTTGAATTTTACCTGAGTTGAAAGTTCTGAGTTGTTATTCCTTTTGTAAATCTGAACTGGCTCTGCATAAACACCTGCGTGTTACCCTCTTGCAGAGAGTGTGCAAATAGCATGCCAGGTTCCCCGGAGAGCCAAACACCTGGGGCAAGTGCCAGGAGGAAAGCTTCCTCACTTCTACTGTCTCGCATGTCCTCAAGGGTTTCTTTACCAGACAAAAAGGATTGGCACGAAAAGGGATAAAAAAATTCCTTTGCAACATTTGTCATATTTCAGTAGCTGGTTCTTTTGCTGGGCCTGTTTCCTGGAAAAAAGGAATGCCTCTTCATGGAATCACTGCCTCTGTAAATAGCTAGGTAAAGCATACTTGTCATGCTGAGAAATAACTTGTGTATCTACCCAGAAGAATGCCACCAACTTGACCTTATGATTTAGGAATTCACCCATCATTTATACGATAGGAAATTCTATCATATAACCACATTATCAGCTGGACAAATGATGAATATATGGCTAAAACTATTTAAAAAAAAAAGCAACTCGTAAAATTTCCCATCAGTTCATAGTCTGCCTAGCATCAACTGCTTCAGCCCCAGCAAGTATGATTATTCCAACATAAAACCAAATGACAAGCACAAAGCTAAATTTTGAAACCCAATTCTTCTTTTAAAAAGTGTTTAGTCTGCTCTACATTTAATAATAGGTTGCTACGTTATTCGGTTTCAGGGCTGCATTTGAGTTATATGTTTGTCTATGTTGCCTTTTCCTCAATGGTGAAAAAGGCAAGGCTACAAGTCATCAATTAAAAAAAATAAAGGAAAAGCAGAGGAGCCCATCCTATACCAGAGAAGAGTGTTAACTTCCTAAGCAAAATTTTCTTTCCTATTGGTCTGATATTCTCAACTACAGTATCACTAAAGGACTATGTAAAGTAACTTTACAGCACGTGGTATGAAATCGATAGTGGCTAGAAATACTATAAAAGCCTCACTAATTCAGACTAATTATAACAGTTCGAATTAGTGATCATTCTAATTACAGGGTATTCTTTTAAAAAGGAAATGCATTTTTATTATTTGCATGACATAGATTCAACCCTAAAAATATGGCTTAATGGAATTCCTCAAGAGGGTCGTTCAAAACAATAGAGAAAATTATTGGAATTAGTGTGTCTATGTTAGTAAGAGTTAGGATTCTCAAAACAGGCATTTTTCTTAGGTAATTTTTATATCCTTTTTATGATTATATTTATCTCATAAAGGTTTCAGCAAATACTTTCTTTAAAATATTCTTAGTCCCTATCTGAATTTTAATAAGTCCCTAACTAAGAGAGTTTAGAAATTTAAAATACATAATCTTTTATAAGAGCAGTACTCTGTAGCAACTCAGGGAATTTCATGGAATTTCAGACAAGCTTCTTTGCAATAATTGTGCCTTTTATTGACTGTGAATATACAATAGGAGCCATAGGACCTTCTCAGTAACACTGACGTTACTATTTTCCTGCATCTATCCGAAAAGGCAATGCTACTATAGGACAAACCAAGGCAAATGTGGTTTTTTAGACGGTAGCTGTGAAATGCTTAAAACCCATCCTGGCTGGGATGACTCAGGTCA